AGAGGAAATATTCTACCCCTGGGTGGTTTAGTGCTATTTAGGATTCCTTCTGAGGGCCTTCCAAGGGTTATTAGACTAGTTTTTTGGGTACCTCTGGTGATAACATTGGATCTACCCTGCTGATCTGTCTCGGAGGTGGAAGATTCATTTTTCTCCTGAAAAATGAACCTCAAACATATATCTGCCCCGAAATCATCAACACAGGCCCAATAGTTCCTTGCTATGTCATCTTGCATAATTGACTTTACCGTTATCACCAGTTCCGTTTTACATTTATCATGGGTTTGTTTAATTCCCCATCGGTGTGCTGCGTCCATTCCATTCTCATAGTATGTTCCCCAGGTATGTTTAAAACACCCTGCCCAAGGACTTGAGCGTTTTCCCAGTGCAAATGCATTTACCATACCTTCTAGGACCTAACTTTCATGTACACGCCCCCCTTCTTACCAAAGCCCCCAAAACATCCATATCTCTCATGGGAGAAGTCTAATGTATCTTGAATCCCCCCATCTTGTCCTAAACTGACTTTAACTATTAAAATAATCATTCCCCCCAATAGTCTTTCTTGGTTCAGTATTTCTACGAGATCGAATCAGTGCATCATTTCCCTGTTTAGGTTGACCTGGATTAATCCATAATATGGTTAACATGATGATGCAGCTCAGAGTCCCCCAAAATCCCAAAAAAACCGCCATCCCAATCCTGTCCCTGACCCACCTGCCTGGTACTTCCCCATACCCACACCTCTATAAACACCCCACAGTGATGAAAGGTCGGGGGTAGGGTTTCTTCGTAACAGAGTTTACCCCCGAAACCTAGTGGTACAGTTCTTCTTCTTTAACTCTGTGTGTTCAACGGTGTTGGTATGTGGGCCTACCTTTTTGCAGTGGGTAACGTGGACCCAAGTGGCTCTCTCAGCTATTCTTATAGCGAAGGCAGTTTACCAACAGGACTTGGTATGGTCCCTCCCAGCGGGGCTGCTTCCAATCCTTTTTCCTCAACGATGGATCAACACCCAGTCTCCAGGTTATTATACTATGAATCACCTTCTCCTTTAATTCTCCTGTAGGACACAAATTCTAGACATACGGTTAACGAACAATTTTTCTCATGTGTTTTGCTAGTGTATTCTCTAGTTCTATGTCTGCCTGTCTGGTCCTGCCAACTGTGGCATTCTGTAAGGTCTTCCAACACTTTCTCAAAGGGGGGATAACCCATCTTTATCTGGGGTTACTCTAAATGTCTTCCCTTCACTCCGTGATAACTCTATAAAATCAATTTCCAATTGCTGGAAAGGGTACTTAGCCGGAGGATACTCACCCTGAGGTGCCCTTTGTCTGCCCTGGTGATTATTTTGAGCAACAGATACACATCTTGAACAAAAGTTATTTTTTTAAATATTAGTAATCCCATATGCAACAAAGTGTTGTCTAATCTGCTCTGCCATCCATCCCTCCTTTTGACACATGTCACTGCCCATGTATCAATATTACCACCTACCTAAACAATCACTTAGGTAATATTGGTAATTTATCATCCAATTGCCATCCCTTATTTATTTTTGAGACTGTCCCTTGCTTCTTTATTGCTCCTATCTTCCTGATCTCATTACTAAATAAATGATCTAGGTAAAAGTGTTTTGCATTTGATTGTGCCTTCCCTGATAATGCAGGTAGTTGCATTTTTGTTCAAATACCAACTGTTGTTATTTAAAACATAATAAAAAGAAATTTAAAGACAACATTTGATAAAACCTCAACTTACTTCTATGTAAGTTTGTACAATTTCTAGCAACGGGGTCCCCCATTAGGAAGCTCTTCTCTCTTCTTTATTTTTTTTGGGTTTAAATCATATAATTTTTCCAAATTATAATTTCAACTTTTCCCCGTAAAAATTCCCCAATTTTAAATAAACTTTTTAAAGTCCTCCTCTATGCCTTTAGAATTACCCGTGTGGAGATTAATTAACCCAGAAAGTTTTTAAAAAAGATTCAGAGGCCCTTGAAATCATTCAAAGAAAAGTTCCATCCATAGATACTAAACTTACCTAATTTTAAAAAATTTCTAAATGTTCTTATCCCAGGTTTTATTAATCCTGTGACTTTTTTTTCAAAGAAATCATATACAGTGGGGAGAAAAGTGAATTTTATGGAGTTTTTTTGGTTTTTTACTATTTGGGTATATAAAATAGGGAGAACAAGTTTTGATACATGCCGATTTTGCAGGTTTTTTCCTACTACAAGCATGTAGAGGTCTTAATTTTTTATATTTACACTTCAACTGTGAGAGACGGAAACTAAAACAAAAATCCAGAAATCACATTGTTGTTTTAAGTAATTAAATTTTCTTTTTTGCATGACATAAGTATTTGATAACCGAAAACAGAACTTAAATTTGTCAGAAACCCTTTTTTGCAATTTAAAAATTTCCCACGTTTCCGTAGGTCTTGACCCGGTTTGCCACACGCAGCAGGGATTTTGCCCACCCTCCCTACAGACCTTCTCCAAAAACCCTTTAGGTTTCGGGGCGTCGCTGGGGAAACGGACTTTAGCTCCCTCCAAAAAATTTTTTTTTTTTTCCCCCCCTTTTTACCCCAACCTTACAAAAAAGGGGTTTTTTGGGGAAAAAAAAAAAGGGTTTTAAAAAAAATTTTTAAGTTTAGCAAAAAAAAAAATCAAAAATTTTTTT